CACTTATTACTATCATTTTTCACATTAATACACACATGTTTATTTCGTAAAAATCAGGGCAATAGCATATAAAAGCTTCTACTACGCATCGAATTTAATTTATAAATGTTAATTTGAACATTAATAAAAGACTCTAAAGATTATCTCGATTCATTACTCTCAAATTCTTAAAAATTCTTAAAATTACCTCTCAATAATGGAGTTGTAATATTATTATCAAACCAATATTGTTTAACAGAACTCGAATCATACATTTCAAAGTTTCATATAGTAAAGTGTTTTGGGTTTTGGGTGTGGTGAGTTTCAGAGACTTTTTTTAACCCATTTTCCCCATTTGTATACTTCCAAAACACTCTTAATAACAATTCGAATCATTGCTAGGAGTTATACATTTTTTTGTCATGCTGATAAATTTTTTTATTGATAAAGTCTTCCTTTTCTTAGAACTTTTTTTTGATAAAGTCTTCCTTTCCTTAGAACGCTTCTTGCTAAGTCCCATTCCGAACATTGATTTTGCTTTTATGATGTTTGTAATGACATATGCTGCAGCTCTTTCACTTAAGTTAGCGTCAGAACTACGTACACGTTGCCAAGCTTTTTCAGCCAATACTTTGTCTGCAATGTTTCGTACTTGATGATCCTTATTTTTAGAGTAAGCAATGTCATGATCTTTACATGCAGCCTCCAGAGGATTAATGCCAGGGTCTCCACGAGCTAATCGCTTATATAGTTTTGTACCAGGTCTGCAATATTGATAACCTGGTATGTGAGCCTCAAAGGGTAGATTACACAGGGTAATAGCCAAAAAGACCTAGAACCGTGACTAAGTACTTCCAAAGGTTTTTGAGTCGTTGAATCTAAATCCGGTGGCAGATTTTGTACATCACGTAAGTTTCCCGAGATATCTTAACCTAAAAGTGCAAAAAACACTGTTTTTGGCTAACTTTAAGGTTATGTCAGATCTCTATTAAAAGTTTTTTTTAAACACCCGACGGCATATCAAAGAACTCTAGCCCTTCAAAACACTTCTTTCAAATTAAAAAAATTTTTTTTTTCGTTGAGACATCGATGTTTAAAGTTTTGTATTTTAACGATATTTGATAAAATAAAGTTGACCTTCAAATAACCTTGAAAATCACATTGAAGGTCAAGTTTGATGTCCTCGTTAGTTGACCTCCTCTGAACTATACAACTTTTACCTGAAACATTTTTCGTATACTTGGCAATGTTTTTAGTTATTCTACTGTCCAAGTTAAAATGGGACACCTTGTATATATATGTATGTACGTATATATATCTACATACAGTTGACATGGACAAAACTGTAGTTTTTCAGCTTGTGTCTTGTGAAGAGAATCCTTCCGTTTCTGCCTACTAGCAAAATGGTCAAAATATGAAACTTCAAACATCGATATCTCAACGAAAAAAAAAAGATTTTTCAAATTTGAAAAAAGAGTTTTGAAGGATTAGAGTTGTTCTTTGAGGCGCCGTCGGCCGTTTAAAAAAAACTTTCAGTAAAGATTTTACTAACCTCATAATTATCCAAAAACAGTGTTTTTTCTATTTTAGTTTAAGATATCTCGGGAACCTGTCGTGATCGACTAAATCTGCCGCCGGCTCTGGATTCAGTGACTTAAAAACATTCAGGATACCGAGACACAGTTCTAGGTCAGTTCACTTTTCAAATTTTATTGACCTGTGTTATTTATCAAGTTATTTACTAAACCTCTACCAATCTTCTTTTTCTTTTTTTCTCGTGGACGATTATGATCGAGTGTTTAGTAGTGAATGCGTGTAAACTTATAAATACACTCTTTTATAGCATCGATTAGCAATTGTGATTCGGAGTTTAGAGTGAAATGGATGTAGAGGAACAGTCTGTCAAGCTTCCTGTGATAAATTTTGATACGTTGACAGAAAAAAGTGAAAAGAAAAATAAAAGACATGGAGATCTATTGCTAGACAGCATACGTGCAGTATGCTGTGGTGCATCTAATTGTGGTAAGACGAATGCGCTCTTAGCTCTTTTAACCCATCCTAATAGTTTAAAGTTTGAAAATATTTACTGTAACGAGGTGGTTATCTAGCAAAAATTAGAAATTTATTAACGAATAAGCTCCCACGATGCAGAGCTAACCGCCGCTCCGTTAAGCACGTATAGTTATACGTGTATTCGCCTTTACCTTTGATGATTTCGTTTCGGTGTCTTCTTTCCAACCGAGTTGAACTCAACTTAAGTCACTTGACTTGTGATACTCGATCTATCCTTAGTATGACTGACTTAATGCCTATTCCGCCTAATCCCCTAGATGAAATCGGATTAAGAGTTAGGCCTTTATAGATCTATCAAGCTAATAGGAAATGAAATGACGTAAACGGCGAATAAAATTAACTAAGTTTAATCAATAAAAACTATAAGTCTTTTACGGGCCGAAAACTAACGCAGGCATATAGGATTCACAATTCTTTATTATAATTCGGTGAGAAAGAGAGAGAGAGATAGAGAAAATTCGAAAATTGCCGCGAATTTTACGCTAGGCGCGAATACAAAAAAATACGATCGCGATTAATAAAATACTTTTGAAAGTATTTTGTAGCGCAATAATAAAGGGAGATTCACCTACCCTGCTGTGCAATTACGGTAATCACCTGTAATTGTTGTTGGCAAACGACTTCTTCACTCTGGAAAAGCTGCGCCAATTTTTCTTGTTACCGGATCGATTGCTGCGCGTTCAATTCCTCGCTGCTCCTGGCTCAGTTGTTTTTTTATTGTACTTCGTTGTCACTCACGCACGTACAAAACCAATAAACTTTCTTTTACAACGGCAAAACAAACGAGGTGAAAATTTTAGCGGTTTCCCGAATAACAGCTGAGGTTTGATTGCAAATTAAACTCTCGCGCGCCCCCTCTCTCTCTTAATCGTTCGCTCTAGCATCACGAGTGCTACCGAATCGCGAACGTATCAATTAATCGAATTGACTACCGTTGCAACACATTATTGATTAGAAAAAAATTGTGTAATACTTATAAAAAATTAGTACTGAATTGTAAAAACTAATTATATTTCAATATTCTGTTACAGATTCATATCATAATTATGAAGACTATCAACGCAGCAGCAAAAATACCCAACTATCTGTCTACCAAGAAAGTAAAAGACGTGGACACCCAAGTATTTTATATCATAGCTGCAATCAAGAAAGTGAAGACTAATTTAGGTGAGTAAGTTGTTCTCGAACTCGAAGCAGAGTTCCACATATTTCTGTCCACAAGAGTCAATCACCTACTTATCGAGAATCATGAAGAGTATAAAAAATTGCGAGCTAGGATTGAGAAGGGTAATATAAAACTAAAATATCTGAAGGTTATTGGGTTATTGGGTTATTGGAGTTTTTTATAAAAATTATATAATATGAATACTGACTAATAAAAAAAATTTTCAAACATATATAGAACTTTTATCTTTTCATTACCAGTTTCTCTCAAACCAATGGTATTGTATTAAGTTAATGACGCATTTGAAATGTAACATGAAACTTTGAACATCATACATACATAAAAATGAGTTGTGCAGATTCTCATCAGATAGTTTTTTTTTCACCCATTATTAATCACTCGCATACACAGGGGCATGGGGCATGGGGCGATCAGTAAAGCAGCATGGAGACTCTTATTGAGTCGTGACACACACGCCGATGTTGGTATGCGACCAGCTGAAATACCTCCATCATACGCCGATAAAGAAAACGTCGATATACCCAAAGCCGATAAAAAAATTGATGGTACAGCAGGGTGATTTCTGTATCAACAGTATGGAAAAAAGTAGTTGTTTGGATGGTAAATATAGACCAGGATCCCCATAACCCCTACTACTAATTTATAATTTACGATGATTTTCAACGTTTACAAACAGTTCGTTTTGCACGTCTACATATCTAAAAATATGTGAAATGTAATTGACTAATACGACATCAAATGAAGACACCACGGCCTTTCTTTCCGATGTGTAAAGTCGCAACAGACATTGTAATTAGAGATAGTGAATAATGACTGTTAATAGATAAATGATTCTCAATAATTCCTGTCTCTCCACCTGTTTCTTAATTGCAGCAATCGGATTATTTGACGACGAAAGCCCATCGACACCTTGTGCGGCGAAGCGAATGTGCCTTCCGCACCCACCCCTTTATAAATAATTAATGATCCGATGTTATTTGGGCTGTTTATTTGATGCGCGAATCGCGAAATCAGGTAAAAGAAACGAACGTGTTACAGGCTACTGCGTGGTATCCAGAAAGCGATTGCCCGGAAGAAAATATTCTCTTCGTTAATAGCGCCAGCCATCGAGCTCTCAATAGACCTATACAGCTGGTCACCGACACTATCTGGTACAAGTTAATCACAGAATGGGAAATGATTTTCTCTCACGAACAGAAAATACCACTAAAATAAAAAAAGGAAGTACACAATGGCGAGGAAAAATGAATCTATATTTTCTTACTGATCGATGTTTTACCTAATCATGTACTGCTCTCCTCTATCCACGGCACTCACATGTTCCTATATGCGCTCCCGAATTTTCGTTCAGTCTTTCCCTCACATTCATGCTCGCGATTTCCCCTCGTGGTTACTGTTTGTTCTACGTACGCACTTTATCTAATATTCTATCGTTACAATATTTTGTCAGAGAAATATTTTTCTTTAAATATATTCTTCAACTTATAAACTTATGATATTATCAAATAAATGTAAGCTGATGTCAAATTTTTTGGGAAAATGACAAGATATTATCCTAATTTTTATTTTAAAAATTTATATCTGAATTAAAAATCTTTTTGCCAGATAGATGTGTTAGATAATTAGTTATAAATATCTAAGGTCTATGAAATAAGTAATAAATTTTGATCATAAATTATGTGCTAAAAAATTTACTATATTAACTTGTTAAAAAAATATACTGTATATAAAAATTATAAAATTTATCTTTGTTTATTTTTAGGTTCAGGATGTCGATGTCATGATTGGCATGGCTGCATAATGGCACAGTCAATTATTGGTTTGGAAAATGTTCAGCCATATAAATTTTCAGAGTGCAGCAAAGCAGATTACATAGCAGCTTTAAAAGACGGAAAAGATGTTTGTCTATTAAACAAACCTAACGAGGTAATAATTGATACTTATTCCTTTAAAAATTCCTTACAGTCCGAGTCGTAATAGCTTTTCCACTAATCAGATATTCTAGTACTTCCCATGAAAACAGGATAAACTTCTCAAGAGCCAGCGCCAGAGTTTTTTCAACAGTAGCGAATAATGGCTTAAGCTACACGTAATTTGTAAATAAGACATGAAATAATATGACATAATTCGATTGCTTGTTCCTGCGCAGAAACTCGATGGCATCCGTATTAATAAATGCATACGAATGATCAATCAAACGTTGCTCATAAAATCCTTTGGTGCTTACATCTCGAGCTTATATTTTTGATAGTCATTGTACGAATGCACAAATTTTTATACGTTGTACTACATCCCATGCCAAATATATTCTCGGTAACGCAATCCTATTTCTTCTCGCGTCGGAAGTTGTTCACTAGAAAACTCGCAGTGTGTATCGCGTATGATTTACTCCTTGTATTTATCCGTCAATCCAACCATCAGTACATCTTTCGGTATATAACTAAATTGAGAAATCTGTTGAGATACAACCGGTAATGTATACTTTCTTTAAATTTCAATGTTGTAATTTATAAAAATGTTACTTTATCTTCATGCTTTCAAGATACTACACATCTGTGACGATTTAAAATAACCTAACATTTTTCCTGTCCTTTAAATTTTAAGGTAATTCATCGAACAGGTGATATTCTACGCCTTTCCGACGGATTAATTCGAATTCGTATTGTTGCTACTGAATACTCATCATGCGAAATGTTCGACAAGCTCCTTTTTATAACCAAGTCATATTAACGCCATCTGATTCGTATTTGTTATAAAATGCGTAGCCTTGATATAAGAGCGATCTGTTTTATTGCATATATCAAACTAAAACATTCAAACTCTAAAATATATAATTTCTGACATGTTCTTTGAATATGGTGGATGATCAATTAATTCGAACTTTAAATCGTTAATTTTTGCCATCGAAACTGCACATGTGTGAACTCGAGCATTGTCTTGAAGAAAGAGGCATATTTTTTTGTTCAAGTGAGGACGTTTGTCTCTGATTTTTTCTTTCAGCTAACCAAATAATGACGCATAATATTGTCTAGTGATCATCTGGCCCTTTTTCAAGTAATCGATGTAGATGATTCCATACGCATCCCAGAAAACCGTGGCCATAATCTTACCAGCTCACTTTACTGTCTTTGCCTTCTTTGGAGCTGGTTCTCCTACGGTAATCCATTGTTTGGACTGTTTTTGGTTTCAGCAGTGTAGCGGTGTACCCATGTTTCATCTACAGTTACGAGTCGACGCCAAAAGTCTTCCGGATTACGACGTATGCGTGTCAAAAGAGCCTCAGAGGTGACCATGCGGGTTCGTTTGTTTTCAACAGTGAGCAAACGTGGCACCCATCAAATAAACCAAAAACTTTTTGTTCAACCAACGCTCACAAAAAAACGACTTAACGAATCGAGCTGAAACTGTGTACGATATCTAGTTAGTATTGCTTGCCAAAAACATCATAATTTTAGCGTGACGAGCGCCATCTCTTGGATTTTTGTAAAGACTTATTGACCCCCCCTCGTAACGTAACATCTTTGTTTCTCACTCTCTCTGAAATTTTTTTTGGAGCACTAGTAAATATATTTTATTCGTTATCTACTAATTTCGTTATTTCGGTCTTCATGATTATCTACATAGCTAAGTGAATAAGGTAAATAAATTTCCCGTAGAATCTAAATCTGTAACAAAAACTATGAGTTTCCATTAGGCATTTTCAAGTTTGGTTTAATTTTGAAATATATGTAGTATAGAATTCAAAAAGAGAGTATTTCGTTCAAACGAATAAAAGAATAATTGCAGAAAAGTTATTATGAAAAGTGACAGAATTTTTCATTTTGCAAAAAGTCTTTTGATCGTTCCTTTTTTTTATTTATCCTGTATAATAAAACTCCTTTTCTTCGCTTACCTTTCCAAATTACGTGATATAATATCAACTAAAAATTTTTAGATTGCTGTACGAGTGTCGTTCAATATGTCCATGACTTCTTGGAAAATTTTGGAGTTATCGTAACGTATTTTACACTGTAAGAGAGTTCCATATAGTATAGGTAATTTTTTAGTCACTTGAATTTAGTTTTCGATTGAGTAAACAAAATCGTTGAAAAAATAACTTTTATGGGCTTATTGAAGATTATTGCTATAGCATGCTGCGACAGTGTGCTGCAGTCACCGTGTTTACTTAGGATAAAAGCAGCAATTAAAGATGCGCCATCTCTTGAATTTTGTAAAGACTTATTGACCCCCCCTCGTAGATAACGAATCAACTGATTTCATTTTATCAGGAATTCTTTTTCGTAAGATGATCAAAATGTCTTAAACCTTTTTATAGTGATAGATTTAGATATGAAATTATGTATCTGTTTATGCTGAATATATAGACCTCTTTGATGAATTCATTTTTGTTGGGTTATTTGATTAATCTATTTTCGTAGCTTTTTAGTTGTTAACTCTACCAGTATAAATACCTCTGATTATAATGTCATAAGAGGCAATGCTGTGGTACAGCCCATGATACACGATAGTTATTTAACAAGTCAGAGACCTTAAATAAAAAAAACACTGTTTATTTAAATAATTACAATTTATTTTTAACATAGTCCCCTTTTAACTCTATACATTAATCATAGCGGTGCTTGAACTTTTTTATGCCCTCTGAAAAGTAATTTTTATCAAACTCCTCAAAATGCTCCTGTCTCACAGCAATGATTTCTGTATAATAGCCAAATCTGCAGAATAAGGTGGATGAGGAAGTACTTCGTAGCGCAAATAAAATAATTTGGCGATTGTAATGTAGATCGTGTGAGCTGATACATTGTCAAAAGGGCCACTTTTTTTTCAGTATGGCATCAAATCATAATGAGGTATAATATTCTCATTTAATAGTTCTTCTACTCTTTATATAATCGATTCATATTATACTACTTGATTTCCAAAAAATTGTAGCCATGACTTTTTTGGTCGATCATATCAGTAGGTAAACCAGAGGGGCCTTAACTCAGAGGGGTATCAGCTCACTGAGTTGAAGCGTGTAAGCTGAGGTGTGTGCATGTTCACCTTACCCCCCCCCACTCCTTCTCATCGGCCCGTGCGTTATCGACCCCCCTCCCCCTCCTTCTACTGAGTTATACCGGTGCGTTCTACGCACTCCCCCCCTCCCCTACTAAGTTGATCTGATGTGGCGTGCGTTCTCCCCTCTGCTCTGCTGTGCTGTGCGTGCGTTCTACGCACTCTCCCCCCCCCCCCCCCTCTCCTATACTATGCTAATGTGCTCTGACGCGCGTTCTCTGCACTTCCCCTTCCTCCTCCTCCTTCTCTCTCTCTCCTCGTGATCTGATGTATGCGCGCGTTCTGTGTTACGCGTTTTGATTTTTTATTGTGTGTGTGTGTGTGTGTTTGCGCGCGCGTGTGTGTTAAATTTTTTAGATTTATCGGAAAAAAAACGGACGGATTGGGGGATCGAACGCGCGTCCTCCGGATCCACAGGTCGATGCTCTACCGCTAGAGCTACAGCCACTGTTACTACGGGCAATACCGTATTGTGTATACTAGCTACACGATTGATATGTGGGGGGCGGCGGCGGCAGCGGCGGCAGCGGCGGCGGCGCCGGCGGCTGCTGCTGGGGAGGGCCCAAGCGCTAATACATACTGTAACGGGGTTAATACCGTTTATTCAATTTAATGCGCACGATCGTAGCGAAGAACGCGCGTGATTACCTATACGTTCAAACACGAAAACCGGAGAGCAGGAGAGAACGGGTATCAGTCAACCAACTATCTACTATTGAAATAAGTACGATGAAATTCTAATCAATATCATATGCGAGATCGTTTATTTCCTTTAAACTGTACAGTGTATTCGGCCCGCGTGTTTATGTTTACAAGACGCTCGCGCGACAATAACATGCGGAGTCGGATCGCTCGCCGCTCTTTGTTTGCCGATATAATACATGCACGTTTTCTAGCGAGTACAAAAGATTAGTTATTTAGCAATTCTGCCGCGATCGCGAAATTAAGCTGGTCAGCTTACCTTATTAACAGTTGTACGGCAACACGAGAGAATGTAGCTCACAATTGAGTTTCGGCAAAGTCTATTGCTTTTTTGTTTGCGACGAGAAAACTTGCGTTCACAATTTCGCCCTCGATGGCGAAACTCCTCACTCGCATACTCTTGCACGCACTCGTAGTGTTCAGTATTAGGTACGGCTCCTGCTGGCTTGGATCAGCTCGTCTTGGCACTCGGGAAAGCTCGGGAACTATCAACTATCCCACCTTGCCCAGCTTAGCGACTGGCTGCTAATCTTCGACTCCTCTTAGGCGATATCGATAGCTGATCCTCGACTGCCTCCTTTTCATACGCGCGCGTTCCGTCCCGCCGCATGCCGAATTCCCTCGTCACATTTTCCCCAACCGGTAGGTGCTGCCCTCGCGGGCAGCCGCATGGTTGGGCCGTTAGCGCTAAAAAGATGTTTACCGTCACAATACAAATGATAATAAATTTTAATAAATATACTAATTATAATAAATATTATACATAAATATTTATTATAATTGGTATATAACGAATAATAATAATAATTTTTTTGATGTTCAATGTGCGCGCGCGTGTGTGTGCGTGCATGCGTGTCTCATCTACCGAAGATGGTTTAATAGAAAAAAACGTGCAAGTACCTGCTTACTTTCTTTTATTTGTAGACTTCGTGGTTGTAAGCTACTATAAATAGCACAGTGTAAGAATTATCGAATCATTCATGAACCAGCATTCCAATAAAATGGATCGCTACTCTAAAGTAAAGTACTCTCGTCTTGCACAGGAAGACCTGGACGAAAAGAAGAACAAAAAATCATCGACATGGAAAACAAAGTATTCCCAAATTTTCGAGCAATATTAAAAATTTTCCCGAACAAAAAGGCTATCAGCAGTTCAATAACGAAAAGAAGAA